TGGAACATTCATTCTGGCACCTCAGGAAATTGTTACATAACACCAACATTCGTTAATTGTATAACATTATATTTATTCACTCATTAATCAACAAAACCCACAGAGTTTTGGTTGGCACAGGTAGGAGGCATGGCAGTTGGGGCAATACTGGGACTATGGGTTAGAATTGTGGACTTGAAATACAGTGGCTGGACTCATTTGACTGCACTGTCTAGTACCTGGACTGGTTCCTGTACTTTGAAGACCGGTTTGAGTTCTGGCAGGACTAGCCTGATGTACTCCTGGTCTGTGCAGCTGTCCGCAATGTGCAGAAGGTTGGGCAGGACGAAGGGTATCATATCTCGGTTAACGAGCTCCTTGCTCAAGCAGGGCAGGACTCGCTGGTGAACCACGCGCTGTGTGGATGAGACAAAGAGTTCTCAAACCTCTCGATCTGAGCACAATTTCTGAAGCAAGCTGTACTGTATGCAATGCAAAGTGCCAGACCAATATGGAGTGAAAATTTAAGACTGCCCAATTTATCAACTGTGATGAGATTTTATGACTGAAAACTTATAGTCTCTCTGTGTTTCAAAACAGCTAAGTGGAGATGAAGGGCCTAGAACAAGTGCAGGACCATTTGGATGACCAATTAAATCCTTTTGGGGGGGGGTGATTATAGATGGGAGATGATCTTGCTGGAATCAATGGAATGTTTAAAATGGCTTGGACAATAATTGCCTACCTTGGGAAGATTTGACAAGACTTTGGGAAGCCCTTTGAAGAATTGTGACTTGGCAAGGTTATCTCGTTGGAACAGCGAGTCCAAATACTGCAAGGTTATGGAGCCGACATCCTCAAAGAACGGGATCTGAAATATGTTCAGTTGCACCCAAGAAAAGGTAAACTGAAAAATTCTCACACTTAAAGAAAAGTCTCTGCTGGAAAAAAAAAAAACATGCTCTGGCAAAATTGGCACCTTTGATATCTGGTCAGCATCGGGTCGCACAGTGGGAGTAGCGCTGAGTAACATCTTGACGTACTCCTTTAGACCATCGCTGAGACTGCCCAATAATGATAGGTTCAGACATTTGAGCTGTCAAAAAACAGAGATTGAGCATCTTGAAGAAACAATTAATCAACCAATCAGGTGCATCATTATCATGGAAAACACTCCTCTGAACTAAGGCATGATGGGAAGACGTTTGAAATGTCTTCACAATGGTTATTCCAGATTCTTTTAAATTACTGCAAACTTGAAGGAATGAGCGAGGATTCAGAATGGAGACGGTGAACACTGGGCATAGATTTGTACTGACGAGTGACATGGCTACTATTTCACAGACCTTGTCTTGGTTATTCCCATCGTCTAAGGATTCTGAACAAGTCTTGAGGTTCTTTTGGTAGTAATTAAGAAAGTTTACATTCCATGTGGGTCATGATGGCAACTGTGTCCATGAGCAAGATAGTTTACAGCAATATTTCCTGATAATGGCCAACCTGTCTTGCTAATAACTGTATAGGACATCGTACCTGTTGGCAGTTGCGCTTGAAGGTCTGCAAGCTCTCGTTGCAGTCAAATAGCGTCTTGCCCCGGTTCATGGTGGCGTACATTAGCATGCCAAGGGAGAACATGTCGCTTGCCGTCTCGCAGCTCATTGTCAGCACGTACTCTGGGGCCAGGTACTCTAACCTCGGCTGAGCCGCAGCCGGGAAGTCAGGGTTCCACTCTCGCATCGGGAAAGTTGGCTGTCGTTGGAAAGGGAACAACAAACGCCAATGACTCCGGCTTGATGGAAATACCAAAATCAACGAATCAAAGCTTAGTCCCTGCATCGAGGTGAATTTCGGAATCTCTCAGAAATATGCAGTAAAGGTCTATGCATTGAGGCCAGAAGAGAACAATGCTTCAACAGGAGAGTAAGTTACAGCCAAAATCTCCTTACCGCTTGGTCTTGGGGCGTGACGGACTGACTGCAGAAATCAAACCCTGCCAGTTTCCATGCTCCACTGGCATTCAGAATAATATTCTCGGGGACAACATTACTATGGATCATATGGACATCATTGTGGAGAAATTTCAGCCCTTCCGTAACCTGTAAACAGAAGATTCAGCCAACGTTAAGGGCTGTCGCAAACTACCCGGCAGGACAAAACTTTGAACATTCTTGCTGCTTGCAGATGTGACCTTGTGTTAGCATTCTATGCCGATACATATACAGTTATAAAGCCCAAATTCTTTGTAACCTTTGAAAACTGTGGCAGTTTTCTGTTTTGTTAAAATATCTGAACTGGACTGACGATCAACCAAGGCACATGAAAATGCGAATTTCCTTTGCAATAGCTCATCTGGGCAAATATCTAAGCTTTTGGTTGTCAATTCTATGGTCCTTTGGCTGTAAATCCTATGTTACCCGAATCTGGACTAGGTATAAATAATTTCTGGCTTATCCACAAAGTAAATATTCTAACATGGGAGAGTCTAGGTCATGTTCTACTTTGAACGTGAATCTGTCCTTGAATGTTAGACATCAGCAAACCTACTGATCCTAAATAGAGCAACAGTCATGAGAAGGACCATTGTCTAAATAATGGTCCCTAGTTCTACACATTCCATTGTGAAGATAATAGGTTACATAAGTCTTAGAAACTGCTCTTGACTAGAGATACATGTACGGACCGTCCGACCATTGATGATATTTGAAGATATTTGAAGATATTAAGATAGTTTGATAGCATTGATATAGCCTCGTTTGTGTAACATGCACCTGCTGTTGTCTCAGCCTTTTCACCCTAACCTTCCCCAACCACACAGAATTAAACAGTAGTAAAGTGTTTAATTCTGTGGGGATAGGTCTGGTAGGCCCATAACAGCTGGCTTTTACATGGGTTTGGCATACCTCAGC